ATCAGCATTTTAAAAAATCAACTTTGTAGAGGTATAATTTAGATATAGCAGTATGTGTGTAATTCAGTGTTTTAATATATATATATATGTAAATAGTTGTTCTACTGTACTGTTTAAGGAATAATGACAAGAAAAAAATCTGTACATGTTCAGTACAGATGCAGTTTTTTTTTTCAGAATATTTTTCATTCCAGGTTGGTTGAATCCATGGATGCAGAACCCACAGAAACAGAGGGCTGACTATATTCTGCTTTGTTTGGGTGGGCTGTATTATATGTGTCAATTAAGTCTAGTTATTTGATACAATTGTTCAACTTTTCTACGTTACTAATTTTTTATCTACTTGCTTGTCCAGTATAATTTTGTTGACTTCCCATCCCTTTGTAGAAAAAGTAGTTTTGCTTCCATTTGCAATCCAGTTCCTTTACCTCATACAAACTGGTGCTTGTTGACTTTTCCTTTGGCCCATTTGTAGCATTTGCCTGCTTCCTCATATGAGTAAAATAAAATTCTTATTACATCTGCATAAGAGTCATGAGCTTACCTTTTCCTGAAAATTATCTTTTGACAGAGCACAGCCACTGTCATTCATCTATGTATTGTTAATGTTCGTTTTGGCATTACGACAACAGAGTAGAATAGCTGTGATACAGACCACATGGCCTGTAAAGCCTGAAATATTTACTATCTAGTCCTTTATAAAAAAAAGTTACTGATTGCCGATCTATGTCATACCAAAGACGGCCGAACTTCGGGAGTTCCAATGAAGAGTCCATTTTGCAACAGTTGTCTGATGTTTTGCATTGCTAAAGTTGCACACTTTTGAGTTAGTGATATCAAAGAAAGCAACTGGATGTTAAAAATGCTGATTAAAATGATATTTATGTCTGTATATAGAAATTAGCTTTTAAAAGGTTCATGTCTTTCCATTGAATCATAAGCTTCTTAATTGAATTGTTTCTACTATAAATTGATTCCTACTGAATGTAAAAGCATCAATTCCTTTGTCTAGGCCTGACTTTCCCAATGAGAAAAGAGAGCAAGTTGAATCAGAGGACATCAGGGTCATTCCTCATATTGCAGTATTTTGAAATAGCGTTAAACTAAGAAAGATTTCTAAAGAATGACTTGGGAGGTTACTGGAATTTTTATCCTCTTTGTAATAAAAGTTGACTTCCTTTTGTGTATATTTTGAGATTCAATTCCAAAGCCTTTATATGCATAGCCTAGAAAGCCTCTTGTTTTCTTGGTGAACAACATGATTATCATCACTAGAGGGAGCTCTTTTTACACAAAATTATGGTAGGAATTAGAAAAAAATAACAGAACTTTGTAGTTTATGTCAAAAAAAAATCTTTTCAAAATACTCTCATTTTCTGCTAATAAATTGTACCTGTCAAATAATGTGAAAAAATAAGAACAGAACTTTGTAGTTTATGTCAAAAAAAATCTTTTCAAAATACTCTCATTTTCTGCTAATAAATTGTACCTGTCAAATAATGTCTTTATAAATTGAAAGTTTTCTGTCAAGTACTGTAACCTCTGTTCTCAGGAGGATCTTTGATACTCTAAATTTGGTAATGGAATAAACATTTTTTATGGGATATTATTTAATTTTCACATAGTAGTAGTGATGTTCGTAGTCTTTTCATTGTTCTTTACATTGATGTTACTTTTGTTTTCTTTAAATGAAATTCTGCTATTGTTCAGTTTGAACAGTATGCTAAACAGAGTTTCAGAGTACAGAACAAGATTTTGGTTAAACTGCCTACTTAACACAGAAAGTATTAACATTCCTGTGTTACAGGTTAAGGCAGCCATCACTTTACAGAACTGGAACAAGCTGGACTGAATCCTCTATTACTTTCAAGGAGGTTGTGAACTTGTTGACCAGAAGTTACATGTTTTAAACAACTTTGCATCATATGAAGAACCTAAGTATCTACTTATTGAAAGCAGGGGTTGCCAACTATGGCCTGCAGGCAAGCAGCCATTTTTTTGGTCAGGTTTTATGGAAACACAGTCATGCTCAATCATTCAAGTATTTTCTTTGGCTGCTTTCACAGTACAACTGTAGAATCAAGTATTTGTGATGAAGACGTTAAACTCTGCAAGCTTAAAATATTTACTATCTGTTCCTTTAAGGAAAAAGTTTGGAGACCCCTACTTTAAAGCATTATAATGAATAAATATCAGTTGAGTAAATAAATGAATATGTGAATGAATGAATGAACAAATTGAGCTGCTCCCATGAGTATTTGGCAGAGAGGTCACACTAGCATATTGGAGAATCCAAGGCACACTTTGAGTCAAGCAAATTCACTCTTTTATAATTCTTGTTTCTATTATTTTGGTGTACATGAAAAACACCTATTTTTGAATAAATATCATAATCATATCACTAGCTCGGTCTTTATAACACAGTGACTTTTCTGTCAAAGGACAAAGGTACTTCTATATAGTTCTTTATGTAGTTCTCCCTTATTTTTAGGGGATACACACCAAGATCCTTGAAACTGTGGTATAACCAAGCTCTATATTTACTATGTTTTCTCTATACTTATAATTAAGTTTAATTTATAAATTAGGCACAGTGAGAAAATAACAACAACAACTAAAAATAAAATAGAACAGTTATAACAATATACTGCTATGTGAATGTGGTCTCTCTCTCTCTCTTCTCTCTCTCTCTCTCTCTCTCTCTCTCTCTCTCTAAATATCTTCATATTTTCAGACCATGGTTGACAGAGGATAACTGAAACTTGGAAAGCAAAACCATGGGTAAGGTGAGACTACTGTATATCACTGCATTGACCATCATTAATCCCCTAGTTTTGGCTAACTGAAAGGTATGACATGGAACGTATTAAATTCACATTGTTAAATTTAGAATTTTTACTTGGAACACAGCCTAGTAAGTTCCACTAAATGAGTTAATTCATCTCTCTACACTTTCACTGATGCATAGATATCAATGCTTATAAATGCTTTATGAATCTCCTTTCAAGTTGAGCAAGCCCCTAATTTAGAAATAAAATTGAAATTGGTAGAACATGTTTGACCAGATGAATGAAAGTTTAATAGGGAAAATTGTCTAAGATGGTGAAGAACTGGGCTTTATTAATTCATAGACCAATTTAAACACACACACACAAGTGGATTCTTCTTGCTGAATTCAGTGACTCACATCAATTTTTTTAAAAGTCAAATTATAACCATCCTTGATGGTATTTTTAGGCCATGAAACCAAGAGATTTGGGGTATTTCTTGTATCTGCCGTAACTTTTCACCC